CCCTCCCAGCAGCCTGGGAAGGGCAGAACACTGCACACACTGGAGGGCCCTTCCCAGTCCCCACATTCCAGATTCATCTGTCACCAGACCCACGGGAGGAGGCAGACTGGTTCCAGGAGGATGAGAGCCCTTGTTCTGACACCTGTGTCTGATTCCATGATTCCAGGACCTGCAAATCCTCTCTGGACTACACCAAACGAAGTCTGGGAATTTTCATTGACCTCCAGAAGAAAAAGGAGGCGGCACATGCCTGGCTGCAAGCAGGGAAGATCTATTACATCCTGCGGCAGAGCGAGCTGGTGGACCTGTACATCCAGGTGAGTGGCAAGGGATGCAGGAGGACCCCTGTGCTGTTCACTCTCTGTCCATCCACCCATCCATTCATCCTTCCATCATCTATTTACCTGTTCATCCTTCCATCCATCCATCCATCCATCATCCATCTGTCCTTTCATCCATCCATCATTCATCCATCCATCTATTCACCCGTCTATCCATCCATTCACCTGTCCATCCACCCATCCATTCATCCTTCTGTCATCTATCTATTTACCTGTTCATCCTTCCATCCATCCATCCACCATCCATCCATCCATCCTTCCATTATCCATCCATTCACCTGTTCATCCATCCCTCCATCCATCTTCCATCCATCCTTCCCTCATCCATCTACTCACCTCCTGTTCATCCTTCCATCCATCCATCATTCATCTATAAATCATTCATCCATCCATCCATTTATCCATCCATCCATCCATCCTTCCATCATCCATGCATTCATCTGATCATCATTCCATCGATCCAGCCATCCATTTATCCATCCATCCATTTATCCATCCATTCATCCATCATCCATCATCCACCTGTCCATTCATCCATCCATCCATCCCTCCTTCCATCATCCATCCACTCACCTTCTGTTCATCCTTCCATCCATCCATCATTCATCCATCTATCCATTCATCCATCCATCATTCATCCATCCTTTTATCATCCACCCATTCACCCGTCTATCCATCCATTGATCTGTTCATCCATCCATACGTCCATTCATCCTTCCATCATCCGTCCATTCACCTGTTCATCCTTCCATCATCTATTTACCTGTTCATCCTTCCATCCATCCATCCATCCATCATCCATCTGTCCTTTCATCCATCCATCATTCATCCATCCATCTATTCACCCGTCTATCCATCCATTCACCTGTCCATCCACCCATCCATTCATCCTTCTGTCATCTATCTATTTACCTGTTCATCCTTCCATCCATCCATCCACCATCCATCCATCCATCCTTCCATTATCCATCCATTCACCTGTTCATCCATCCCTCCATCCATCTTCCATCCATCCTTCCCTCATCCATCCATTTACCTGTTCATTGTTCCATCATCCATCATTCCACCATCCATCCTTCCATCATCTATCCACTCGCCTGCTCATCCATCCATCCATCCATCCATACATCCCTCATCCATCCATCCTTCTATCATCCATCCATTCACCTGTTCATCCTTCCATTCACCTGTTCATCCTTCCATTCATCCATCCATCATCCATTCATCCTTTTATCGTTCATCCATTCAGCCACTATCTATCCACTCGCCTGCTCATCCATCCATCCATCCATCCATCCCTCATCCATCCATTCACCTGTTCATCCTTCCATTCACCTGTTCATCCTTCCATTCATTCATCCATCCATCATCCATTCATCCATCCATCATTCATCCATTCTTTTATCGTTCATCCATTCAGCCACCATCCATCCACCTGTTCGTCCGTCCATCCTTTCATCCATCCATCCTTCCATCATCCATCCATTCACCTGTTCGTCCTTCCATGCATCCATCATTCATGCATCCATTTATCCATTCATCCATATATCCAGCAATCTATCATCCATCCATCCTTCCCTCATCCATCTACTCACCTCCTGTTCATCCTTCCATCCATCCATCATTCATCTATAAATCATTCATCCATCCATCCATTTATCCATCCATCCTTCCATCATCCATCCATTCTTCCATCATCCATGGATTCATCTTTTCATCATTCCATCGATCCAGCCATTCATTTATCCATCCATTCATCCATCCATCATTCATCCATCCTTTTCTCATCCATCCATTCACCCATGTATCCATCCATTCACTTTTTCATCCATCCATCCATCCCTCCTTCCACCATCCATCCACTCACCTCCTGTTCATCCTTCCATCCATCTATCCATTCATCCATCCTTCATCCATCCTTTTATCAACCACCCATTCACCCGTCTATCCATCCATTGATCTGTTCATCCATCCATACGTCCATTCACCTGTTCATCCTTCCATCATTCATCAATTTATCCATCATCCATCCATTTATCCATCCATCCATACTTCCATCATCCATCCATTCACCTGTTCATCCTTCCATCCATCCATCATCCATCCATTCATCCACCCATCCATCAATCCATCATCCATCCTTTCACCCATCCATCTACCCACCAATCTACCTATTAATCCATCCCTCCATTCATCTATCTGTCCATTTGTTTATCCATACATTCGTCTATCCACCATCTATCCATCCACATGTACATACATCATCTACCCTCCACGCATCAATACATTATCTACCCACGCATACATACAGACATACACACATCATTCCACCCACCCTCCCACCCACCCATCCATCCAAGCATTCATCTATCCACACACCCTTCCATCCATCCATGTGTCTACATCTCCTCATCCATTCATCCATCCATCCACTCATTCCTAAGCCACTGCTGAGCACCTGTTGTGTGCCTTTTCCCTCCCTCCAACTGGTTCCCTCACATCCTCCCCCGGTGGCCAGCATCTTCTCCCTGAGGGCAGAGGCGCGGCCTCTCACAGTGCACAGCACTTGCTGGTATACAGCACATGCTCAAATAATGTGACCACTCAATTAACACACAGAAGAACTCGCTCCAAGCGACATGTGGCACATCTCCTTATAAAATGAATCTATCATAGTGGCTGTTTTCAGAGGCTTTCCCAAACACAGTGTGATCTGGAACAAATGGTGAAGCCCACGAGACTGATGAAGCTTTCATTATTGAGCACCTGCTGTATACCTCCTTGAGCTGAGGAGAGGGATGAAGAGCTCATGGCCAAGAGGGGACCGGGCCCACCCACAAACACTGCTGATGTGGCAGGGATGTGGCAACGCAGAAAGGAGCCAGGGGCTGGGCTCCCAGCAATCTGGGGGCCACGGAGACTGGTTTGAGTTTAGGGGGAGTGGGCTAGGGCTAGCCCTGTTGGTAGGATTCACAGGTGTCGGGATCCTGGGCTACAGCTGCTCAGTCACCTCCTGGCACTCAGGAGCATCAGTTCATTGTCCTCATGCCAGTGGTGGGGGCAGCCCTAATGTACAGGGTCTGAAAAATGCTCAAGTGTACCTGTACTGTGTGAGAGGAAGGAGCCTGGCAAAGGTGCGCGTAGCCACCTCGCTAGGTGTGGGCCTTGAGGGAACTTCTGTCTCCTTTCAGGTGGCACAGAATGTGGACCTGTACACAGGCAACCTCAACCTGGGGCTGGAGCTGTTTGAGGCAGCTGGAGACATCTTCTTCAATGGGGCCTGGGAGCGGGAGGAAGGCATGTCCTTCTACCGGGTGAGCTGGCCTGTGGGCTGATGTGGGTGGGCCTCAGTGGGGCACCTGGAGGGCTGAGGCACAGGTGTGGCAGGGTAGAGGCCTCCCAAATGGAGGCAGGGCCACCCATGCACATGATGAGTTTCCAAGTGGTCTCACCCGGAATGATATTGACCATGCCCCTGCCCGGGACAAACGCTCAGGGCCTGGACATGACAATGGCTCTACCCTTGTACCTGATGACCTCAAGCAACTATGAGTGGGAAGTCCTGTCCTCATCTTCCAGATGAGGAAACTGAGGCTCAGAGAGGCACAGGGACATGTCAAAGGACACACAGCGTATCAGTGGGAGGCCTAGGTCTGCATGCACCCCGAAGTGGGACGGCTTCTCCCTTCCTCTGAGCTCACGGTGTGGCTCAGCCCTGGGCACAGATCAATGTGGTGTTTTTAGAGCAGAGAGGAGTGCTGGCTCCCCCAGTCAGACCTCCGGTGCCCAGGTGGGAGAGGCTGGTCTGAGGCTGTCGGGTGTAGCTGGATGGGCCTCAGGTGACTCTTCAGCCCCCAACTTGGATGTCTGAACTGTGTGTTATCCCAGAGCACAGAGCTGTGTCGAGGTGCAGGGATAACACACAGAGCTGGGGTGTGGGAAGCTCCAAGCACGTATTTGAGCTCTGAGGAGGGCGCTGGGCAAGGTGGGTGCTGCGGGAAAACTGACCCCACCTCCCTGTGGGGTAGGACTGGGCCCTGCCCCGGCAGTGACTACGGGCAACCGCAAGGTGGAGCTGCAGCTACAGCTGTGCCACAAGCTGGTGTCACTGCTGGCCACACTGGAGGAGCCCCAGGAGGACTTGGAGTTTGCCTACATGGCCCTAGCACTCAGGATCACTCTGGGTAAGTCCCCTGAGCCCCCGCCCTGCCAGGACCCACACTTTGCAGAGCCCAGCCTCCAGGTCTGCAGTGCAGGAGCTGAAACAGCTGCTGGATTTTCCTGGTCTCGTGTCCAGGCAGGCATATCTGCCCAACTGGCTTCCCCGTCTGGCTGTGGGGCACAGCCCAAGGTCTCTCACGCAGTGCGGAGCTCCCTGCCTGACTGAGCTCTGCTTCCTCTGCCTGTTCCCGCTGCCGACCACAAGGGCCGCCCAGTGTGCCCTCTGCCTTCTAGACATGCCAGGCATCTCGTTGGTCCCTGTATGTGCCAGGCTGAGTGGCACATTCCCTTTCTCTTGTGCCCTTCCCACCCTTATCAACCACACGGCTCTCTGGCTGATGAAATCCCAGTTCCCCTTCCAGAAGTCTGCCCCTTAAGGCCGTGCATCCCCTGGTGCTGTGCCAGGGTCGTCTGTCCCCCTCCAGAGACAGGGAACCCTAGGCAGGCCACATGCCCCAGCGCCTTGTGCCCCGTGGCCCAGTACACAGTAGGTGTGCAACTGACTCCCCAAGGTAGGGGGCTCTGATTATGACACACCCAGGAGGAGTCGGATGTCACGTCCGTGGGATGCCTGGAGCTGGGGTGCCCGGGAGCACCTGGACTGCATGGCTTTTGGGCTCCCCTGGTTAAAACCAGTGAGCAAAGGCAGGTGGCTATGTGTAGGCATAGAACTGGGCCATCCAAGTCCGACTTTGCCAAAGCCTCTCAGTAGACAGGGGCAGGCCTTATTAGTTCTGCTTTGCAGATGGGAAAGTGAGTCTGGGAACCTGGAAGGGAATGGCCAGAGATGCCCAGGTGACCACAAGTGCCTGGAGACAAGCCAGGTGTGCTGCCTGGGGTCTGCATACCTGCTCCTGAGGGGCCTGTGCCCTCCCTGCCCCAGGGAGCCACATCCTCACACCTGCCCCTTTGGCCTGCACCCCAGGGGACCGGCCTAACGAGCGCGTGGCCTACCACCAGCTGGATGCCCTGCACCACTGGCTGGGCCATGGCAAGCTGGCGGAGCACTTCTACCTCAAGGCCGTTTAGCTCTGCAACTCGCCACTGGAGTTCGACGAGGAGACCCTCTACTAAGTGAAGGTGTACCTGGTGCTCGGTGACATTATCTTCTACGACCTGAAGGTGGGTGGAGAGGGACAGGGCTCGGGGTGTTCCTGACCCCCTTGGAGTGGGATCTCCACCCAGACCCCAGAGGCCTGGGTTCCAGCCTTAGGAATGGCCCAGTGGCCTCCCTGGAGCTCTACACCCAGCTGGAGGAGCCGGCAAGGTTAGTGGGTAAAACCCAGCTCCCCAGATGGCCAGGCCCCACCCTCAGGAACTCAGTCTCAGCCAGGGAGGCTGACACATGAGTGGGCAATGGTGGCCTCTGGGTAAAGAAGGGGGATTGTAGTCAGGGGGGCCCTCCTGGAGGAGGTGACACCAAAGCTGAGTCTTGACAGTCAAGTGTCAAGTTGCATTTAACAAAGAACAGAGTCGGGAGAAGGACATTTCGGAGGATGGCATCATCCTCACATTGACTCCACGTTGCAAGATCCAACCCAAATCCTGGCACCTCCTCTAGGAAGCCTGCCCAGGGTGCCAGCCTGCACTGAGCAACTCCTTCCTGGAGTCCCGAGACACCTTGAATCTTCACACCACCCAGGAAGGGTGGGGTGGGACCAGTATCTTACCATTGGGTTCACAGACAGGGAAACCCCAGCTCAGGGCAGGTGCAGTGGGGCAGGGCCCCAGCCAACCAGGCTGAGGCCTTGCTGGGTCGGGTGTGTCTCGAGAGGAGGTGCTGTGCTCCCTCTGCCCCAGCCCTGCAGGGGTGGAGAGCTGGGACTGGCAGACTCAGACCTGGGGTGTCTCCACCCCTCTGCCCAGCAGGCACCGCCCCTCCTCAGCATTGCACCGGCACCGCGTCAGTGCTCCTTATGGGCTGAGGGGCCAGGGCACTCCAGTCCAGGGGCCGAGATCTTGGGGGCCTTAGAACAACATGAGGAGCTGGGGCAGCCCTAAGACCCTGCCCTGTATCCCCTACGACAGGCCTGGGGCTGCCCGGGAGGCCTCAGCCCAGTGCTGGCGACACCTGATTGTCAGAAGTGGTCCCTGTGGCCTCCCAAGTCCCAGCCAGACATGGAGGTGCCAGGTGTCAGGCCCAGAGGGACGCTGCTCACCGCTCAGGGGCTCGCCTGGGACCCAGGGGGACGGACCTCCCAGAAGAGGCCTTTATCTCTCTTGGTCAAGCCTGCCGCCCACTCCGCCTGTCCAGGAGAAAGGAAAGGGCCAAGTAGTACCTGAGACGCCAAAGTCCACGGTTGGGGTCGAGGGGCAGAGGCCTCCTTCACCTCCTTCCCATGCCCAGCCCTCCTTTCCATGCACAGTCCTCCTTCACCTCCTTCCCATGCACAGCCCTCCTTCCCATGCACAGTCCTCCTTCCCATGCACAGCCCTCCTTCCCATGCACAGTCCTCCTTCATCTCCTTCCCATGCACTGTCCTCTTTCCCATGCACAGCCTTCCTTTACCTCCTTCGCATGCACAGCCCTCCTTCCCATGCACAGTCCTCCTTCCCATGCACAGCCCTCCTTCCCATGCACAGCCCTCCTTCCCATGCACAGCCCTCCTTCATCTCCTTCCCATGCACAGTCCTCTTTCCCATGCACAGCCTTCCTTCACCTCCTTCCCATGCACAGCCCTCCTTCACCTCCTTCCCATGCACAGCCCTCCTTCACCTCCT